AGTACTTTTTCCATTAGAGTAAATGCAAGGATGTTTTCCCTTCTGGTTTCACTCTGGTTAAGCAGCGTCATCCAGGGATTTGAAATATCAGCCAAGCCATCAAGAGGCTTAGAATACATACAAGTTGGGCCACTAAAGGATCCAACTAGGTGGTTAAAAAAAAATTGCTTGGAAAAGTTCTGCCATTACCTCATGAGAGTTTGGACTATGTCAGACCCACAGATGGCCCGGTCCCCTCGTCCTTGAAGAGTTACTGGGTCCTAATATAGAAACAAAGGTTTTCTTCTGTGGTAAATAATGCAGACATTATTCTAAGGTTTGGATGGTTGGATGGTATGATGTAAAGTCATACAAGGGGCACCTTGTGGACTTCTAGTCTCCTCCTTATGCATGGGATGCCATTTTACAGAATCCAGGCCTAGCTATCTCCTTTTCTCTATAGGTTCCAGTCCAAACAGACAGGAACTCTACCAGATCTCATCACCACAGATTCCACTGACTTCACCATTAGGCTATATCCTTGATAAATGGGACAAGTTTGACCCTGACAACTTAAAATAAGGACAGCTTATGTACTATTGTAATATCATCTGGGTTCCATGCTGCCTTAGTTACTTTTCCTGTTGTTGAGGCAAAATATCCAATGCCCCAAGCTGAGGGGGGAAATGTTTATTCAGTTCACAGTTTGTAGAGGTTTCAGTCCATAATTGGCTGGCTCCAAGGCAGGGTGGCACATGGCAGCAGAAGGCAGCAAAAGCAACAAGAGAGGGGGAGATAAGCCTCCTTCTGCCCTTTATACTGTATCCAGTTTACCCACTCTGTGGCGGGCATAGCACTTACACCCTTAATCCCAGCACTGGACCATGAATCAGTGACAAACTCTAGATTCATCCATCTCTGAAAATCTCCAGACCATGACTGCATGAGTCCTTGGGGGGGATATCTAGACACAAACCATAACACATACAAACTAGGAGATGGCAAAAGATGGGTATGGGGTGATACTTTAAACTTGAGACTATTCTATGGGCACATGGGAAGTTTTGGCCTGCTTGGGGGGCCCAAGGGAGATTTTTGAGGGTGAGGTCTTAAGGTTAGAGAATGCACATGTGCAAGACATCAGCAATAACAGCAAGAAGCATGGAGCAGAGCAGAGCACAAGAGCACAAGAGAAAGAGTACAAGAGCAAGAGCCACCTGCATCTTTATTGTATAATTCTTACATGGTTGTTATCTCATATTTACATTCTTACATAGTACTATAACCAGTGCATGCACATTGACCTATGCTAAGTCATGGTTAATCATTGTATCCCACTGTGTGCCTGTTGTAGACAAGCACACAGTGGGATACAATCAGAGTTATGTCAGAGTTATGTCCTCAGGTGTCCTTAGATGCCCTTGAGCTTTGAAGCAATCTGAGTGGTTCCCAATAGGAAGGTAACATGGTAGTCCCCCAAAACACAAACTGATAAGAAGAAATTTATAAACTGGAGCAAGCAGAGACCAGGCTAATTTAGCAAATTACATAACAAACAAGCACATAGACAACAAGGCATACTCAAAGAGTGTATGGAAATGGCTAGAAAGAAAAGCAAAAGCTGATGTTCTCTTCCTACATACCCATGGCCAGTCCAGGAAGCTCCTCCTTGGCATCAGGAAGAGATCCCGACTCCCAGCTTAGAGGAGAGTGAGAGAAAGTGAGAAGGGAAAAAAAGCCCCATAGAGAGAAACAGAAATTGGGCCCAACATAGACCTTACCTTCATCTCTGGTATCTGAGCTTTACTCTCATGGCTGGCAATCCCAACATGTTATATCCTGGCTGGTTCTGCCAACATGTTATCTCCTGCATGGCTACACTAAAATGTTGTCAGGTAGTTTCTTTAGAAATGGCTTGCCAATCAAAAGTATTCCAGGTCCTTCTTGCCTTGAACAGAGAATTGGATAAAACAGGTGAGAAATGGTGCCAAAAGTTTATTGGAAAGCCAAGAGCAAATGGATGTGGGAGAAACCAGCTCTGCAGATCAAACTTGGGGAGAAGAAGAGAAGAAGATAAAGCCAACATAAAAATACATGATGACAGCCTCAGGTGCTGAGCTGAACTACCTGAAGAGAGCAGTGCTTCTTTTTTGTTTTTTTTTTCCGGTACAGGGTATCGAACTCATGACCTTGTGCTTGCCAGGCAGACACTGTGCTGCTGAGCTAAATCCCCAGCCCGAGAGCAGTGCTTCTGCTGGCAAGCAGGCTGAGGGCTGGGAGAGTCAGGTCCATTTGGAGCCTTACATTTCTGTTTATAAACTTAATAACTACTGCTTGTCAAAGTTCTAATGTTTTAGGGTGCTGACCACAAATGAGATAAGATTAGCCCTGACAACAGATTAGACTTGACTTTAGATAAGATCAGCCTACAAGACACTCTTTCTAAATCTGTTATTGCTCATATTTGTTAAAAAGGGCTATGACTGACTCCAATCACCTGTCACATCCCCTCCAACATGGAACATGCTTTAACTGTCACTGGTGAAAGCTACCTTGGCACTGTGGGACAAGGCTGCAGATGGTTAATTGGCAGTGCCTTCAGAAAAGAAGAAATTACATTCAGAGACCAAGGGGGGAATTGTGAGCATCAAAGTCGCCCGCGTGTCAACCCTCCTAACGTAAGCAGAGCTCAGAAGTTATGCAAGTGGGTTCTTACACATGACTGCCTATAGCAAAAAGCCCTTTTAGTAGGCAGAATAGTTAGATATCTCTTGATTTTGGCTTTCTTTGGTATTTGATTTCACAATTTTTAGTGATACTTTTTGGATGGAGACCACTATGAAGCAGACTGATTTCACAATTTTTAGTGATACTTTTTGGATGGAGACCACTATGAAGCAGACCTGAGTAGGACTTAAATTAATCAATTGGTTTTTCATGTTCACGTGTGAACCTGTCCAAGGCCTACGCTCCTTATCTGGAAATGATGGACTCATGGTAAGTGAACCTCTGTGAGTCACTAATCCCTACTAGAACCTGTAGTGGTGGATGAAGCCAGAAAACCTCAAAGGACAATACAAGATCATAGCCAAGGACACCTGGATCAGATCTCAACTAGATAAACACTATAGCCTCAGGCACCTCATTCTTCAGTGGATTAACTTAATACCTTATTTAGAGAAGTCCTTGAGTTGTTCTGCCCTTCTTGAGTACTCCCCTCCCTTCTTCTGATAACCAAATAAAAATGGGTAACCCAGAGAAGGTCTTGGTCTTAGCCCTGAGAGAATTGAGAATTATGTGAGAGGGCTTTGATCCTCCTGGCTTTGATCCTCTTTTTATTTAGCCTTTGCTGTACATTCATTCAGGAGATTGCAGATCTGATCAGCCTGCAATAACTAAGGGATATTATTAACCCCATACCTTTTCAGGCTGAAGCATTGTCCCGTTGTCTTTGATGGAATCTATGCAAGAATACAACATAAGACATCCAGCCAGATGAGGTGGCACCTCACTGAGGCTTAAAATAAAGCGGTGGAGGGGTGTGTGTGTAGTGACTGGCACTATGAAACGGAACCCTAGTTGGATTAGCAAATTTCTGGGTGTGGCTGACTAGATTTACTGAGGAGGGAAGCCCCACCCTGGGTGTGGGTGGCATCAATACATACTATTGGTTGGGAGGCATGTAAAGGAATGGAAAGAAGCAGGCTTTGCTGTTTGCTGCTTTCTGCCTGTACTGCCATGGACTGTTTCTTCTCTGTGATACCCCTCTGCCATGCCACCCGGCCTTGGAGCCAGCCAACTATGAACTTGAAACCTCTATGAATTTTAAGCTAGAATAAGTCTTTCCTCCTTTAATCTGTGGGTGTTGGTTTTTACATGTGGTTTTTTTTTTTTTTTTTTTGGTCCCAGCAATAAGAATGTAACTCACACAGGATCTTAAAACCAGGAGGGTGTTAGGTGGTACCCTCTTCAAAGTGTCCAGTACTGTGCTAACCTGCTTCACCCTGTTCTCCCACATTCCTTTTTTTTTTTTTTTTTGGTTTTTCTCCGGTACCGGGAACCGAACTCACGACCTTGCGCTTGCCAGGCATGTTCTCCCACATTCTTGCAGGCTGTTCTACCTCAGTGTAGACTGTGAAGTTTGCCACAAGGTCAAATCATTTCTGTCTGGTCTCCTTTTGACCAGAAAAGGGTATCGTGTTAAATTTGCAGACTCTATTGGGATGAAGATTGCCCATAATAATCAAAGAAACATTGACTCAGAGACACCATCTTTGTCCTCAGTGAATGTTGAGCATTCTGATGTTTGTCTGCAAGCCTTGTGGCATTTAAAAAGGCATTTAAATCTGTCCTTATGAAAAGGCCAGTAGTTCCTGAGCAAATGTAAGGGAAACAAAAGCAATTTCCATTTCAGCAGAAGGCAACATCAGAAGTCTTACCTGTGCCACTGCCCTCCATTCCTCCTGCCATTTTGAAATGAGTGGGGTCAGACTGGTGATCACCAACTCCTTGCATTACTTTCCCATCAGACCTGCCTTGTGCTAATTGCTGAGGATTTGGAAGTCTGTCCTCTAGGACTAGTTTAGCATATGTGGATTATAATAAACTATGGGAAACTAAAAAATAAATTAAAATGAAGTGGAGATAAGGTTTTAAGAAGGTAGGAGATAGGAATGGTGACAGGAAAAGATTAACATGTAAATGGGGCAAGAGAATGGAATGAGTTCAAGTTTGGTTTTTGTTTTTTGCTTTCTTCTCCCAATGCAGTAAGTTGAAAGATGCTAAGAGGCACAATGAATTGTGTGTGTGTGTGTGTGTTGGGGAGGAGTTGAATGGAGAATGGAGAAATGAGCATTTATCTTCCACATTTTTATGAACAGCAAAATGAGGTGAATGGAGCTCAGGCTTGGTTCTGTGGGTTTGAGATCAATACTTGCAGATGTGCTTTTTCTTTCATATTCATCTTAGTTAAATCTTCCCTTTCACAGTCAAGAAATAATTCGGAAAATTCAGAAAAGTGGTTGAATTTAAAACAGATTTTATTAACCTATAACCAGTGAATGTGTACCAGTGGATACTGATTGAAACTTCTTAATTAACTGTGTTAGTTTGACAATACACATTAGAAATATTAAATGACTGACTGTATGGTGTGTCATTCTGGTATAGACACACTTTGTATCCTGTAAAGACTTGTAATCCGTTCTGACAAACAAAGAGAAGTTGATGCTTATGGTTAGGCCAATAATGTCATGAAAAGGACAGAATAGAGAGAGTATAACCTTAGACAGATAGAAGTAAACATATTTCAACTATTGCTTACTCCTTAAATTATTTTTATATCATATGCCAGAGGACCTTCAATGGAAAATCCTAGGTAGAAGGAGACTTTTTCTATGTTTCTACCACTTCTGAGTGGGTTTGAATACACAGATGTCACTGGTATTTTTATTTTTTCCTCTGTCCCATATTCTATAGAGATTAGCTTGCCTTCGGCCTGACCAGTTAGCCGACGCAGGAGGGATATGACTTCTTTTCTTTTCCACACTTCTCCACTTTGCCAGAAGGAATTTGTATTTTTTTCTTTACTGATGTCTTTCTCTATCTCGGCCTTGTGAATAAGACTGTTGAGACCCATTTTAGTTCCCAGATAGAAAAGTGTGCTTGCTTGCTTGGATCTGCACATGCGCTTGTACTGGCCTCTGAAGGATCTGTTTAAGGATAAGACATACTTTTCCATTAGTTTGGAATCTTTATCTAGCTCTTGATTTTCTGGCCAGAACAGGAGGCAGGCCAAGAAATAAGGATCTGGATAGGGATGACTAAGTCCTACAGATTGCAGGACTTCTCGGAGCTGTTGTTTTAGTACACTCAGTGGTTGGACGGACTTGGAAGTGGATTTTAAACAACTGAGAATAATGTTGGCCAAAATGAAATTTTGTTTCTCTTTCACTGGCCTTTTATTTGGGTTTTGCTGCAATAAGAAGGCATATTCATTCACTATACTTTCCATGATGCTTGCAGCTCCTTTGAGGTTTGGATTAAGATATTCAAGGAGTCCAGAAAACCTGTCTGCTCTCAAAGCTTCTAGACGTTTTCTGCAATTCTCTTCCTGGAGTAACTGATTCTCTTTCCCTTGTGATGGAGTCACATCTGCACAGCAGAAAAGTTCTGTGTATTGCTTGTAATAGTGACTGATTTTCTTGCTTAGTTTGAATTCTGCCATTTCTTTCTGGATACTCCTTGTTTTCAGGAGAACCATATAATCACCAAAAAAATGGAAGCACTTCATCAAATCTGCTTGCAAATTTTGTAGCTGGGCTGTGAATTTGCTAAGAGCCAAGTAATATTCATTTTTAGGATCAGGAGGAATGTTTCCCTTCCCGGATAAAAATTGCACCATGGATTTTTGAGACAGTTGATTTTCTCTGTGGAAGAAGGGAGTGAGCTGAAGAATCTGGATCGTGTAAAGACTGACTTCTATTTCACCCAGGAAACCAGCTGTATTGTACATGTCATACCTTCTTTGTGGCTTCTGGGCCGACCAAGTCTCAGTTTCATATTCTTTACTATCAGTTTGCTGTTGGGATTCTTTGAAAGCTCTTGCAGCTTTTCCAGCAGCTTCCAGCAAATGTGTTAGATCCTTAACAGTAATGCTCTTACAGTTTTTGTTTTTATCCAACCACCATTTGATCTCACTTTTGTAGACTTGACCAAGTGTATCTGAGATATAGGAATTTTTAGGTGCTCTGCTTTTGGCCAAATTTGCCCAGTCTAGAGCAGCACTAAAGTTCTTCTCTTTAATGTAGAAATACCTTGCTAAAGCTTGACAAATGAATGCATTTTGTGGGAATCGACTACTTCCTCGAAACAAGACTTTTTCAATTTCTTTGTTCTGCAAAGTTTCAATTAATGGGGAAAATAAAGTGTCTGTTTCAGCTCCATACTCCTTGCGCTGCCGTGTAAGCAGAAGAGTCTGCACATCGTGTTGAAATTTGTCTCTTGCTATTCCAGAATCGTAGAACACATTCTCATTTAACATGTTCAATGCAATCTGACACTTATCCATGTGGTAGCTCTTTTCCAGTTCTTTTAGACAGTAAATGGCAATCAGAGGGTGAATGATACGCACACCTGTGTATCTTCCATATTCTGCAACTTCTGTGTTTATTAGAAGTGTATAATAGGTTCCCATCTTGTCTTCTAGGCTTTCAGGTTTCCAGGGTGTACTAGTATGAATGATTCCTAAGAACATTTCACACTGCGACAATGAAATTGTAGAATCAGTAACATAAGAATTGAGCAGAGCAAGGAAAGAAATAAGTTGAGCTTCCTTGCTGTTAACATTCTGTTCTTTTAGTATGTTTCTTACTACATTTTCTATATATGCTTCATCAAAATTGCCTTTCATGATCATGAAGGAATAAAAGTTTTCACAGTTTTTGTGTTGCTTTTCAATTTCTTCTAGCTTGGCCTCAAAAGCTCTTTGCTCCTTGGAAGAAAGGGTATATGTTAGTGAAATGCTGTTTGCTAATTTTGCACTTTCATCTGGATTCTGGGATCGCATGCAGTTTAAGATAATTACCGGTGTCTTTTTATATGGCAAATCCTTGTCTACTAAAATGGAGTGGATGGCATTCTGTAGAATGCAGACATTTTCCTGTTCTTCAAAATCATCCACAAGCAGAAGCACGGGAATAAAATCCTGGTGGCTAGTTGCCTTATAGGTGATCAAGTTGCTTACTTGTTCTCCGACTTCTGCAAAATCAATTGCTTTGTTTTTTAATACAGCACACCTGTAGTTTTGCTTTAGGTCCCAGAGAACATGCATTGCCAGTGTCGTACCTCCACAGCCTGGATGATGATAAAGATTGATGATTTTTGCAAATACTGGTTTAGAACAATCTGCACAGTCTTCTATCAAAATTTTAAGGTTGTCATACATGTCTCTTTTCACAAAAGCTGAAGAATAGTTTTCAGAAGAAAAGTAGAAGTTCCACCAGGATACTTTGCCACCTCGATAAAAGTGTTCTTCTCTTGATTTCCTAAATTCTAGGAATTTGGATTTATCTTTCTCTATATCTGTGTCCTTACATTCATTTTCAGAAAGGATTTGGAGCGCAGTGAAGGTATCCTCTTCCTTTTTCTCTAGGATAACTGAGGAAGAACCATACGCGGGCAAAAACTTCCTTGATGACTGAGTCACTGATTTTAGTTTAAGGATAGTACTGTTTACTAGTTCTATATCTAAAGTGGAGATACTGTGGTTTGCTAATTCATCTGCAATTGTCAATCTTGTTTGCAATAGGTCTTTCCATCGCTGGTAAATCTTTGTGTTGACACAGATACACAACATATTTTCCATTCCTTTGAGAGCTTGATAGAAAGCGCAGAAAGCTTCAGTGAATGGATCTCCTGGGCTTTCCACTGAGGAGAGTAAGAGGAACACCACTAATAATTTTCCTCTTGCCATTAAGTTTTCATCTGTGAGAAATAAAATAAGTTTTCTAAACTCACATGCTCTATCTCTCTGCCATAAATGTGATTCTAGAGGTTTATATGTGTCACTTTGCAGGTCTGATCTGCCGTTACAGAAGATCCAGCTGGTTTGCTCATAAAGATTCAGAGTAGAAATTTTCTCTCTCATCGTGGTTTTATTTTCTTCATACTGATTTGGGAAGTGCATGTTTGCTACTCGACTTTTTTGGTAAGCTTTGGCCACACCGTGGATCCTAGATTCAGGATCAAACTCCAACACAGCAAACCACTGAATTTCTTTTAGAAAGTCCAAGTGCTGTATTTGATTTGGATGGCTTTTATTTATCACAAGAATGTAGGAGTTGTAATATGAATTATCCAATGAGTCTCGGTTTCCGATGAGAAGTTTAACCAGTTTTAGTCCTTCACTCTCTCTCCTTGTCACTTTCATTCGGTGTTCCTCTTCAGCATCTTTTCTAGATGCTACACATGATGGTAAGTTTTCAAAAAATTTTTTAAAATCTTTATTCCGTTGCTTAACATTGGCCAGTATATCCTTGGTGCTGGCTCCATCTCTCACAAACAGTGAACAGTTTTCATTTTGTTTCCATATTTTGTCCGTTTCACTTTGCAGCTTAACGTAGAAATACTTTTCTTTGCACACCGAGTGCTTGGGAATGACATCCACTTCAATGACAAACCTGTCTGATAGAGTATTGTTCTGCAGTAAGACTTCCACAAACCTTGGCTCTCGGATACACTGCTTGGCTTCATGGATCTCACTTTCTTCAAAATACTTTTTGATCATTTTATTGAAATGATCAATGAAGGCACCCTTATTGGTGACTTTCACACCGACAATTTCTCCGTGGGGTTTGTCTTTGACTCCAAAATGGATGGTACCATTTGTGCGTGTATTCATACAAGCTGATGCAAATCGGAAGGCTTCATTGCTGAATTTCATTTTAAGACCCTCTTCTGTGGCATATTCTGTATCTGTGAGAGCTTTGAACTCATGTATTGGGTCAATGAGATTTAGTGGTCCTGTTTCAGGTTGTAGGATATAATGTTCTATGTATCTTTTACTGTCATGGAAGTTATCAAAGGGATATGGAAGGCAGGTGAAATTTTCAGTTTTTGGTTTGTTCTTTTTCTTGTCTGTAGTGTCTGATACTTCACTTACTGCATTTTCTGTCACGAGAATAGATTCCTGGCCTTTGGTATTCCTGATCTCTCTGAAGTCTTGATCAATATGGGATGACATTAATTCTGTCTCCTCTTTTTTGGTCAGTTTTGGGTTTTTTTGATGTTCTTTTTTGGAGGATTTTGTATTATCTGATTGTCTGGAGTCAGGATTGTCACTTTCAGGGAAACTTGTATTCAATTTGTTATACATTCGTTTTATCAAAAGTGCTGGACCCCGTGGCAGCCCCATTTCTTTGAGATCCTTCTCAGTCAATTCCTGCAGGACTAATCCTGTCACTTCTTCATTCAGCAGAATTTGTCCATATTTTTCATCAATCTTAAGCTCTTCTGTTACCCATTTTTTAACATGTTCTTTTGTCCAGTCTTTGATCTTTTCAGGCAGAATTACTTGTTCATTCATGTCAGAGCTTCAAGTTTGTTCCTTGAAAAAATAATACAGTAATTATTTTGGCATTATATATCATTGAAATTACATATTCAATTATGTATATAATCTTATACCCATATATGTATAATATTTTTCAAGGTTGACAAAACTGCTTGATACTATTATAGATAGTTAAGTTACTTAGAAATATTATAGACAGCCAGACAAGACTGAGCCCAGGAAAGGTCAGTACAGAAGACAGTGGTGGCTGGAGGTGCATTAAAGGTCAGACATTAAGAATAAGAGAAACTGCTCAGCCATGTACTTCCCCTAGGGATGAACAGCAGTGAATGATATTCTAAATAGGCATCAATAACCTTGGGTAGGGGACCAAAACCTCCTTAACCCACCCCTTCCAGGAAAGTCCTTGTTCATCCCATGTGTGCTTGCTGTGGGACTTGCTTCCCTCTTTAGAGTCTCTTTGAATCAATATTACCCAAGTGACTATACTTGTTATAATTTTATTGCTTGACCATAATCTTATCCAAACTCACACCCATTCTGTTATCTGTTCTGAAGCAACTATACTTGTAATCTTATGGATTGATCACAGTTCTGTCTCACCTTGAACCTGACTCACCTTGTGGCTTTGCTCAGTTGATGGGCAACCCACCTGCCAGGCCCCCTTCTGTTCCTCTTAGAGAGAAGCTTTCTTTCTCTGAATAAACTCTTCCTACTCTTAACCTCTGTTGTTCCTAGAATTCATTCCTTGATTTTAGAGAACACAAACTTGGTGTCTTGGACATTTAGAAGATTGGGAATTTTTTCTCCCTGTATCAATACTTAACAGTTTTACAGTGCTCATTAATATTTCATGTTGATGGTAATTGTGATTATGAAATAAGCGGTAGCTGTGAATTAGGTGATATGCCCTTTTGTTTTGTTTTGTTCTTGGTGGTAGTACTGGGGACTGAACTCAGGGCCTTACGTGTGCTAGGCAAGCACTCTACCACTGAGCTACATCCCCAGCCCCTGCCCTTTTATCCTTATAATAATTTTCCTTAGTAGGCTTAATTTGGTGAAAGCTGAGTTTTTATAAAACCAGACTTGTAAGTAACACATAAACTATTTATCATAGAAGCATAATTTCAATAAATTTAAAAATATTAACCTGGATAAGTGGAGCTAGGTTGGAGAAGGGGAAATCCCATTCACAGTTTGGAAGTCAGCCTCTTTGTTACATTTGAGGGTTTAGCAGTAAACTGTTAGGATAATCAATATGGTTGACTAGTTCTTGTGCTTGTGAGAAAGTATAAAAAAGAGACTAAAAGTAGTACAAGAGAGCCTGAAGCTAGACAGTGAAAACGGTATGCATTTTTAATTTTATTAAAACCATTTTCACTTAAATTATTGTTATGAAATTGATGAAGAGCCTACCATTTGGTACACTGCTCAATCTCAAAGGCTGAATATTTTGGACTCTTAAAGTAGAGACTCTCAAACTCTGCTAAATATTTAAATTACTTGGCGCTCCACCTCCACAATGGCTGTAAGTAGTATTAGTCCTCTAAAAAATATTGCTAGGTAGCTGAGCATGGTGGTACAAACCTGTAATGCTAGAACTCTGGGAGACTGAGGCAAGAGGATTACAAGTTTGAACCCAGTCTGAGCAATTCAGCAACCTAGTGAGACCCTGTCTCAAAACAAAAAACTAGAAAAAGTACTGGAGAAGCAGGTTAGTGCAAAGATCCTGGGTTTACTCTCTAGTACCAAAAAAAAAAAAAAAAAATTTGGGTAATTCTGTTCCATAGAAGATAAGGTCAAAAGCCAGGCTTCTCAAGGTGTGGTCTCCAGATGACCACCAGTAGTAGTAACAGCAACAGCAGCAGCAGCACTTGGAAACTGGCTAGAACCGTAAATGCCCAACCCCTACCCAAGACCTACTGAATCAGACTGAAAAGATGAATGAATAAACTGAATTCTTACATTCTCACCTTCCTCTAGTTTCTATTTTCCAACTTTGACTGGCATAATTTTTTTTTGGTCATTCATTATAAATCATTCTTTCTCTTTTTTTGTACAATTTCCTTAGCTAGCCTACCACATTGGTGAAGTCCACCACTTGGCCTCCATTAGATAATCAGAATGTAGTTTGACCTGACACTCCCACCAGACTGGTCTTAGTGCAGGTATCACAACAGTGGCTGGGAGACCACTCCCCTTGCATCCACCTGAATTTGGGCAATAGCCCAGGACCAATCCTTCTTCCATTTCCTAAGAGGAGTAGAAATAAAAACAACAAAAACCCAGGAAATATCCAAAGTTCCAGGCCAAAACACATCAGTGTTAGAACTCGGTGGCCTAACCTTCAGTAACCTTTTTTTTTTCACTTGAACCTCCTTAAAGGTTCACACATAGGGACCATGTATCATGTATGTGAATAAAACGGAGTGAACTCTGGGACAGTTATGCGTACTAGGAGCCCTGTGATGACTCAGCATCCCACCAACCATTTCTGACAATCTTATCCAGAGATCTAATGAGAGGCATCCATTTTGGGATGCACATCTTTTAAAATCCTAAAACATATGAAAAGCTATAAGATGGATCTTTTTGTGAAATCTAGTTTATGTTTAGAAAATATACATGCCTACTGGTAAATCATAGAACCCCTTCTGTCAGTTAAAAGACAATAGGCAGGCAGGCCTTCTTAAGACTTGGAGGACAGGTTTCAGTAAGAGACTGGCCCTGATCTTCCTCTGCACGCTAGAGGAAACATCAAACTTATTCTGCTTCAGTCTTTTTTTTTCTGGTCTGACCTCATTTTTTATCTTTCCTGCCTCTCTGCACTTCCATTTTTTGGAGCTATGTAAGATTAGAGAGAGGGGGACTCTAAACTGCCCCAACCTTTTTGTCCTGTCCAACAACTAACAACCTTTAAGTTGAGGCCATAGAAATGAGCATTTGTTAACACTGAAGACAGGGAAGAAATCTTAGATGAAGACAGCTCAGGCCTCTAACAAACAGTGGTTATTCTGCCAGCTAGTTAAATGCTTTTAGAGTAACTGCCACTCTTAAAGCAGAGGACAAGTTCTCTAGCACCTTCTGCTCAATCCCCACTGAAGCCAATGGCCAATGGAATGTTGACCAGACAGGCAGCTGGACTCCTTCTGGAAACACATGTCTGGTTGCATGGATTAGTGAAAGCTGAGAGGACAATTGAGGGGTCATGGGTTGGGGGACTTGGGTAGCTACCCAAATATTCCTTAGTGGAAGCTGGGTCCTGACAGCCCAACTAGATAATCGGCAGAAAAATGTTCATTTATCTATCACCCTTACCTGCACTCCTGAGAACTTTTTTCTCTGCTAGTAAGTTAGAACCTTGCCCTGTTTTTCTCCAACTCCCTAGTAGTTAACTTAGAACTACTTTGAAGTTAGACTACCCCTCTCTCCAGAAGTCAGACTGAGGCAGCTTGCAATGACTATTTGCCTTTTATGGAGACTAGATAGTGATTTATATTTGTGCCTTGTATGTGCTAGATAGGTGTAAAAAAAAAGTTATTTTAGCCAGCATTTCTCTTTCATGCGCATGTAGAAAATTCATAGATGTAATGTATCTTTACTAACAGGTGAATTGTTGCTAGGCAATGGATATAAGTTTAAATATAAGCTTTAGATACAGAAATTTTAGAGTAGATGTTGAGTAAAACTTAGCCTTGTCTTGCTGTGAAAGAAGATTACCTAGGTGTTAAGGTAGATAACACAAATATTTTAGAGTCTTCTTTACCCTAGGGTAGGAGTTTTCTCTGAGCCATTTACCTGACTCACTCTATCTCTAGAGGTGACCTCTTTTGATGAGAACTGGGAAGCACTCTACTTCTCATTCTTTGATAACTGCCCTCACTCTCTTTCAAAGAACTAGAAAGCAGTGGTTAAATCTCTTCAGTATTGGTTTTTCTAGCAGTGCTTCTTCCTTGCAACATGATTGTTACAGCTGAAATCAACTGTAGCTTGCCTCTTTAGAAACACATGCTAGACTCAGGAGTATCAGCTCCCAGGAAAGAAAGGGCTGTGAGCCAGTAAAAGGTGGCTAGTCTGCCAATCTTTTACCACCTGCTCTGGAGTGGGTCCTGTTTGAGGCTGCCTTGAGGATATAGAAATCAGGTAGAAATTAAAGGGATGCCAATTCTTTACCTAGCATTTCAGATGGGAAGACTAATGTCAAAATCTATTACTCCTTTGGAATGTATTCTTAAACACTGGGGAATGTTTGACACATATATTGAACAAGAGCCATTTAATATTTTTCTGCACTTACACATGGCCTGCTGGAGTGCAGGCAGAAGTATTATGATGCCATTTCACAACTAGGATCATATTATAAGAAAGAGGAGAAATAGAATTACCCTATGTTCAGACTTTCTTTGCATTAGGAAATAATCCCTAGTTGTATTCAAAATGTCAATATAAGCCACAGGGAATCGATGACAAATATGGAACTGCCTGCTTTCATGTGTCGTTTCCGCTCATTATCCTAAGACATTCTCCTCACACTGTGGCAGGGCTTAGTTCTTCCAAAGGGAGCCTATGGCTATCAGACAACTGTGGATTGGAACCTGTGGAACCAACTTGTGTCACTGTGGATTGGATCCTGTGGAACCAATATGCAGCCCTGGCTACCCACTGGATAGATAGGAAGATACACATTTAGACAGGAGTGTCAAAGGTGTTGACAATCCTGCGGACTCACCCCATATATGACACTGATGGCCTAAAAGCATCTTTCACTGGTATGAGCATTTTGCTTTTATCTTTATCCTTTCTCTAGGATCAGAGAAGCCTATGTCAGAGGATGACATGCAACACATTGGGGCCTTTACTAACTATACCCAATGTACCTTAAATGACACCATGACTAGTTTCTCTATCATGAATAAAGAGGTAAAATTAAGGAGCCAAGCCATTCTCCAAAATTGGATGGCATTAGGCATTCTAACAGCTGCACAAGGGGTACTTGAATGACTGTAAAAGCTGAATGTTGTCTATACATTCCT